CATCCAGATTGTTTCAAAGGTGCTTTTTAAAGAAGCAACTGGCCTTTTTTTCTTTTTCTTTGAAGACCTTTCACTTCTCATCCAAGAAGCTTCTTTGGCTCTGATTGGATGGTGGAGAATGGAAGGATTTATATTCCTTGCAGACAGTTCATCACTAGCATTCATTTAGAGAGTCATTAAGGCCCCTTGAAGGTTTATCTGTGTCCTTAGGGTCACCAGAGTAATGCAAATGAGTATGGACCCTTCTTGGAACTGCTGAGAGGACTGTGTTGTAGACTGGTGAAAGATGTCATATCACTCCTCCTCTGTTGAGAGAGTGCTGTTCAATTTTGAAATTAATAGCCACTTTTACTCCTCTTTCAAACCAGCAGTCCTCTCTGTCCAAAATGTGGACTTGCTGTCTTCAAAAAAGTGGCCTTTATCTTTTAAATACAGATAGACTGTTAAATCTAGTCCTGATTGGTTTGTTCTGCTATGTTGGGCCATGTGTTTATGAAGTGATTGTTTTGTTATTGCTAGTCCTCTATGTTAGAAGAATCTCACATGACTGACTGCATTCCCTAGATAATGATAAGGTAAGGCTTCATGGATTGTGGGGTTGATTAGATCTATGCTGCTTTCTATAGTGCAAAGACTCTAAACCTGGCTCCTTCTTAACACCTCCTTTCAGTCTAGCAGGAATTTCCTCCACAACTTTAAAGTGTTTTAATGATAGCACTATCTATTTCTAACAATTGCTAAACCAGGTGGGGGAAAGGGAATAGAGTAGTTGTTAATATCCTTCTGTTTGAAACCATGTCACAGTATTTTCAAATGGCAAAATACAGAGGAAATATGTTATCATAAAGAACTAAAGTTGGACAGAAATTGTAACTCAATAACGTACCTTGTAAGGATAAAAAGCCAAAATGGGTCTATTAAGAGGAAAACAGACAGAGCCTGTAGACAAAACAGCCACTGCAGGTTTCATCACATTTAATGTAGCACCAAACGGATATACAAAAGTGAGAGCCCTAGAAAAAAGATGCAAAGAATGTCATGGCCAATTTTAAAACATTGCAGCATTGTGCATTTCCAGATACAGTATACTGTAACAACACTTTCCTATAAAAATGGTCTCACTTTAAAAAAATGGCATGCACAATGTAGCATACAGGATACTTACTGTGAATCATTTCCACCAGTATCTTCATCTATTATCCCAGTCACGGTTTTTCCTGCAGCTCTGCTGATTTCCCTTGTTGAGAGAAATACAAAATCAACTGAGATTAAATCAACAGTGATTTAAATAAAATTTGCCTGAAATGATTTATTATCCATTTATTAAATAGGTAAATGACTTACCGATTTAAAACTCCATTAGACACCAACGCTTCTTTAGGATGGAAATATTTATAATACACATTTCTCACCACAGAATCTTAAAAGAAAGACAAACAAATAGTTACTGAAGTACATTGTTTCAAGATAAAGATTCTATTTCATGGGCATAATTAATTCCATTTCAAATCATGAATCTATGGCCAGTGGTGGATGTACAATCCTAGCAAAATATAAATGCACAGTTAAACTAAATGAGAGCAGTTCGGTGGCACAGGGACACTCTTTAGTAGGTCCACTGTGATAGCTATCTTTTATTGCCTCCATGCTCTGGGCACTGCTATTATTCCAAGCACACTGCAGCTTGGCATGCTATTCACTATAAACCAAGGGCCTTCTGTTAGAATTCTGCTAGAGCATATTATGTATATATGGCAAATGGAATAGACTGCTGATATTTTAATATGTAGGAAAGTTACAGACCAAATGGAATAGCTGTAGCAACAAAGGCAGTATAGCAACATATGTTTAACTAAAAATCATACTGTCCAATTATTAGGAATGCAACTATAATAAATATGACATATTCAGATGTAAACTTAATATTATTTATTTAATACATTTATTTACCGCTTCCTATATCTGTTTCATCCGTTCATTCCTAAAACTTCTCTAACTGCCTGAAGTCAGATTCTTCACAGCTTATAGAAATCATTAAAAAATAACCAAAACATTAAATTGTAGTTAATATACAAAACTAAATATGTACAATTAAGAAGAGTCATCACAGTATATCATACAGTTGTCTCTCTAAGTGGTTTACCACAACATAAAAGAAAACAGACAATAAATTGAAATAATATAAAATCAATGCAATGAAAAAGTCACATAAAGATAGCTATATGTTCTTATACAGGATTATTTCCAAAATCAACAGATATTAAGAATAAAAACCCTTGTCAAAACTACAACTAAATTTACCTTTCTTTTTCAGACAATTATTATTAGCCTAGATGTGAAAATATAAAAGATGTCAAAATAGATATTGAGTTATAATTTGTTTTCTATTTTGAACTAGGAGTTTGGATACATTTTGAAAACTGTAGAAGTAGCAATTTTTCATGTAATTTATTACCATTATTGACCATGATCCCGAACTCTTCTAATAAGAAGTTGATGTTAGTATCGTAACGAGATTCACCACCTTCTCCCAGCATCACCAAGATATTCCCACCACTTTCTAGATATTTCTTCAGAACTTCAAACTGAGAAGGAAAACAAAAGCAGAAAAAACTTATTGATACAATAAATACAAAAAGTATGGTTTCATACTTTTTTCTTAGTCAACAAGAATATTAAGACAGTCTTGAATATTAAGACAGTCATACTACATGACTTGTAATATTTATACCTTTTAATATTTCCAAATTTTCATTTCCCATTTAAAATATGTATCTATTTTTAATAAGAAAATTATCAGATTAATCATATAATTTTATGATAGAAATTTACAAGCTAATAAACAATCTGTTCCTTGGTACATAGTAAAATGTGCACAGAGAACCTTTCTGTTTCTCCACCAAAATATAAATCTTATGATAAATATTTAAGTTCGTCTCAATATTTAAGATATAATTAACCTCTAGACAATAAACAGATAATGTATTCAATGCTAGCACATACTTCAGCAGCTGTAAACTTTTCTCTGGGTCCTGCAGTAATCCACAGTTTTACTCCTGAAAGTTTCTCTGAAGTGATTTCATCTTTTAAGCTAGGAACAAGTAAACAAGAAATCTCATTCCATCATTTAAAAAAGCAAAAAAGAAATGCAATATGTTTTAAGGAAAATTTTATGACATGTACATTAATTTAACAGATATAGATCAGAACAAATTACAGATTTCAAAAAAGACATAAAATACAATGAATTCCACCTACCTCTGTATCTTCCAGTTACTACGAAGTTTTTTTTGTAAAATCCTATAACCACTGTTCATAGTAAAAATTTCTTTTTTGGAAGCATTGAAGATAATAATATTCCGAAGATCTCCCTCCATAATTATCTTAAAGATTAAAAAAAAGTACAATTACATAAACAAAGGAACAGCAAATCAATGTTATAAATATCAGTTAATATATATTGTCTCTAGCTTAGTACCGTGTTTCCCCGAAAATACGACATGTCCTCATAATACAGCCATGCCACATTTTTCTGGTGGGCAAAAATATAACCCCCCCCCCCCCCGCATATAAGCCCCCTGGACAACCCCCCCCCCNGTTCTTTTTGCCTAGCCTTATTTCTAGGCCCAAATTGGATTTCAAGTCTTTTTTTGCCAGTTTGGCTGAAGTTTACCAACAAGTGAGCACTGATGATGTTACCTAGTTTGGGTAATGAAACCTCTGCAAAAAAACAACCACACTCAGAGAGAACACCATATTTCAAGAACAAATATTCTCCTTTGTTGGCTTAACCATTTCAGAGCTAAGAAGCACTTGCAACATTTTGCAGCAGTGCCCACTGGTCATGGCTAATCTACATGGGTACAGATTTTTTTTTTCTGAATATGTTGAATTCGTTTTTAAAACAAATAAAATTGAAACAAATCTCCGGCTGTGGTTATATAGACTTGTCATTCAGTGTTCTTGTTCACTCCTGTACAGAAACCCTACTTATTTCAGAAAATAGTTTTATCAAAATCACTATATTGGCAACTTCTACCTAAAATGTATTAGCTAGCAGGCACCTTACTCTTGATTAAAGAACTTTCTGAAAAGTGTTGGGTTAACACAATGTTTTTTTTGTTTCCTATGGGTATCTGAAATATTCTCCCAAGTTATAGTAGAGGTCAATAACATTCAGTTCCTGCCCTCTTTTCTATTTTGTTCTTCACTGAATAGATTGCTGTATATTCTGAAATAAATTGTCTTGTATTTGGACAAATGAATGTATAATTTTATCCTCCTTAAAAGTTGGAACTATTGGATACAGAAAAGGCAATCAATACATATATTAATTGAGTTCACATATTACACTACTAAGCCATGATTTGCTTAGCCACGGTTTATTCAATAAGACACAATTGTTGACTTTACATGACAAGCTAAATTACAAGGCTAAAGTTTTATAAACCAGACAAGTTTAGACTTAGCATGAAAGCCTTTTTTCTATAAAGGGTCACAAGTCTCCACTAATCAGCAATAAGAAAAATGAATAATGTAAACAAACAAAAAGATCATGAAGCCTTAATATAAAGGTATTTGAGCAAAAGTCTGTATGGGACATACATATCAGTGTCATTTTTAGGGACAATTATGAGCGGGCCTATCATCTTGATACAGAGTAGAAGTAAGATGAGCTATGCAGCCATGCTTTAGAAGAGAATGGATATATCCCATGACATAACTCTTTAATGAAGACAGTGGGTGGCATCTGACCTTTAGTGATTCTTAATAAAGGCACAACAGAAACACAGGCAGGAGAGAAACTCCCACTTCTAGTACAGCTAATTCTGGAAACCAGATGGGTACATTCTGTAGTCTTTCTGGAAACTGGATTTCTGCATCAAACTTCTTTTTTTGAAATGAACCCCTATTGCCATCTACTGGCCTTTAAAAGGCAAAAGCTTTATTTTATGAAATGTCTGCAGGTTGCCCATAGCTCTGAGACTGCTTCCATGTGCTCTGCAGGATTGGTATTTTACAGAGAAGGAGCATAAACCAGAAAGGTTTGCGTTTTACCATTGGGCAGAGAAAGACCGCTACCTTAAACAGCTGATCTGAATTATCACAAAAGGGCAAGAGGTTGTTAAATGCTTTTTTTTTTAATAGCTGATAAAGGCAGTCATGGAAAACTTCTTGTTCAAAGGAGAATTGTACCTATGAAGAACCATAGCACAAAATTATACAATCTTTATACAAGGAGAGCTATCATTGGAAGACAGGTGGAAACCCTACATTTTACAGAAGTAAAAAAATTAAGGAAACAAACCCAAACTAAACAATACAAGATGGAAGATCTAGTAAAAAAACAGCTCAGTGAAGACTTCAGTTGACTAATGATTAAAAAAATATATGGATGCAGAAGAACACTTGGAAAACAGGCAGTGAAACTTCCCGTCACCCGACAAATGCGCGCACAACAGAAGTGTGCCGACAAAACCGCGGTGCTAAAACCGCGACGTCAACCTGTGCCACGATGTCATCAATGCGCCGACAACATCGCGCCGA